CGAGGTAAATTTTTGCGGCCGGAGCTGGTCGTAACCCGAAAAGTTCATTAACAGAGGTGTTTGTAACCCGAGGTACCACTGTATTTTCTTCCATCTCCTATGTCATGCCACTTCCTATCCTACCTCTTTATATAATGCCAGTTAATAGTATTTTCCTATTATTGTCCTCCAAAAGAATAAATGAATGATTTTCTATTGATTTTGTTGCAAATTATAATCTGTTGGCAGTGATCTTGATTCTCTGATCCCTATTTTTCTATTCATTATTACAGAAAACACTCATGGAATTGTAGACGGCTTCTATGTAGGCAGCTTCCTTTTGCTAGCATTCTGATATATTTTGTATAAAATGTAAGCTAATTAATGAGCTAATAAATCCAATTCATGAAACAATAGTAATTTCCTCTGAAAACTATCTACAATTTTACAATAAATTGGCTATTTTGTAAAATTCCAAGTATGACATTGAAGAAGAGTAATACAAAAAATATAATAGATGTTTTAAAACTCCCCTTATCTCTTAATTTGTGAACTTTTTTGTTTACAAATTTGTGTCCAGATTAGATACATCTGAAATTGTATATTCTGTATTTTTCCCTCATAAAATTCCTATTTAAGCTTTATCCCCCCATACCCCATGCAGGTCACCCAAGTGATTCAGAGTTTCAGAGATTTGGATTTTATCTAGAATTATCTAGAATTTTCTCCAGACAGCAACATTTACCTGACAGATTCCACTTTGGAATTGGCTTTTCATTTTGGGGGGAAGCTCCCTGGTTTGCTGGGGCAATGAAACAAGCAATGAGATGGCTGCAGTACAAATTTATAAGATGCACCTTGAAGCTGAGTCGATATGCCTCAGAGCATATAGTCATGCATATTTAATGACTGTAAAGGCCACTAATAAGACTTACTTTGTGGCCTGTATTGTTTCCTCAATTCAGCTCCAAAAAATTGTTTAGGATAATCACGAACCTATTGTTGTTTGCTCTAGAAATCCTATATTGAAGCTCTCAAAACTTTCTATGACAATTTGCAATCAGTCTGAAGATAAAATCACTTACACGCCTACCAACTTGAGTGCTATTTTTAATGCTGAAGTATCCAGTACATTGTGTGGTCTCATTACATGGTATCACTTTCAGTTTATGGCAATACCTGTAACTCTCCAGCCTATTGT